GGCAAACAATCATGTTTACAAACCCTGCGACTCGTGAGATGATGAACAGTGGATTCCAAATGACAATAGAAGAAATAATTGCGCTTAACAGCCATATTGATATCACCGCGGCAATGACGCGCTTGTGAGTCACAAGCTCTTGATATCTGAGATGAAGATGAACAGCTAAGAACCTGTCCACAATTATGGTTACAACATTCAAGAGCGAGGATACACAAAATAAATTAATAACGACGTACAACCCCTTGTAGGAAATGCAGTCGATACGTTTTCGTTTCAAACCGCTGACTACAGCAGAAATGTAGAGTGGTTGGACCAACACACCAACGCCAACATCGGAGGCAGCCAGGCTCAGTAATTATGTTCTCAAAGGTTTTGTCAACAGCGCGGTTTTCCTTATCGCATGGATGGTAACGATGTTCAAAATGATGGTTGTATAACACAAAAAGCTGTTGAAGACACAATTAGCGACAACTGACGGACGAAGATCTTCAACATCTGTAGAGGTTCCAAAGAAAACCTCGTTGAGAATTTCGCAAACGTTTTCCGCCATAAGAACTGAGCGTTAATACTACTGTGGCTCCGATATTTTTCGGTTCTAAAACGGAAAATTTGAAGTCATACGTAGCTGTCGATCACAAGCATAGAACACAATCTAAGCTGCACGTACATTCAAGATGTCTTTAATTCTGGCATTTGAATTTTTGAAAAAAGCATCGAGTATCGCTTTAACTCGGCGTTGGTTAAAATGTTTAATGCTTCAAGACATTTTAACTAAACATGGGATCTATACCTGAAAAAAGTTATTTGAAGGAAAGCTGTCATTAACATATTTTTTATCTGTCAAAATGAATATACGAAACATTATAGTCAGTTAAATTAAAGAACGCTTGACTTATGTCTTTTGTTATTAAATTTGCCTGAATACACTGAATACATCTTCAGAGACCAAGCATTTTATGGTTGATAAGGGGTGGGGAGAGAGACCAGAATAATGAATACGTATAAATTACGCACTCGTTTGTGGCGGAACTAGGAGGCAATATTTTCCGGTGGTGGATTATTACAGATAGCCCTCCCTCCTTATAGACGTCGACTGCGTTCGGCTCTTTCTTTAATCACCTCTTCACAAGTCCCAGATCCACTTCAGTTCTTGAACAGCTGCACTTAGCTCAGAAAAAGTTTAGCAATGGCCATGTAATATTTTGATATATTTCAACCGAAAAAAATACAGATAAGACATTTTATCAAACAATAATTCTGCATCAAGCGCTTAAACAAAAAGAAAACAGGAAGTTTGACTATTGTTTATGCTGACGGCAGACGTAAATTAAAAATGATGGCTGGCTTTTTTGTGACATCAATAGATGTAAATTAACTGTGAAAAATGCAATATTGTGTTTAGAATATGAAAGACTTTAGCCTGTTAGGCTCAGAAAGTAAAGAAGGAATGAAAAACAACGAATCGACAAATGACGGGACTATAAATTTTATTTCGTCCAAAGGTAAGGAGTAATTTGCAAATGAGCGGTGTCAAAGACAGTCAGGGGTTGTATTTGTTTCTCTTTACATCGTAAAGTGATTGGTCGAGAATTTTGCTCCATCTGCCAGCTACTCCGAAGCAATTAGAGCCACTCGCGACTTTACTAATAGATAGAGAAAATTATTTTTCTTAATTTTTCTTTCTAAATCATCTGCTGGTTAAAGTTTGTCCTCTAATTTAGGTTGTATTGGAAAAAGCAGAACCCAAATAATTCAGCTCTTATCTGAATCTTGTGCCATTATACTAGACGAAAAGTGTTATGTGGTGCTATGCATTATGCAACCATCTATATGTGCAATCATATGAATGCAGACGACTAGGTGACCGATTCCGAGAACAACTTCGCGACGTAGCAAGAAATGACAAGGACGCATCCGAAACAGTCGCCAGACACTTTAATCTCCCTACTTATTCTTTACAGCATATGGCAGTTTCGGGCCTTTCCCTACATCTAGGCAGCTCGGAAAGCCGCACAACACCAGAACAAAAATTTATCCTCCAAATCGGCACTCTTAATCCCTACGCTATCAACGAGCGCTTTTCATTCTTGTTTTCTGGTCACCATATTCCCACCAATAGCGTAACTCCGTTTTCTGATTATAAACCCACACAACCCACCACTCCTCCAATCGCTCTGACGAAGGGCTAACGCTCGAAACGTTAGCCTTTAAACTCACTACTCGCCCACTACAGTCTACATCTCGCCACTGAGCAGAACTCACAGTTTCCTCCAATGTTTCTTGAAATTAGCAATCTTCCATTGTAGCTCTCTCTCACAGTATAGCTTTCTAAACAATCGGTCACTCCGACAACAACAACTACTACTACTACTACTACATAAGTGGGTCTTCATATACACTCACAAAGTGCTCTGGAACATTCTGGAAGCTTACAAAAGAACTATTTTAGTAATAATTGCGTGACTTAATGAAATGTTCTAAAACGTTCTATGATACGAATGTCAGCATGATTGAGCAGTCTGGAGACTTCTAGAAGCTTATATCTGCAACAACAATAACTTATAACAAATGTTATTCTCTGAACCGATTGACGATGCTTCGCATTATGTCCATGAGAGTGCGACGAATGGGTCCCATCTTCCAGCAGTATATAACAGGGTTCAAAGACGAGTTGAGGAAAACCAAAGTCATTGTATAGAGCCAAGCTTCGTATAAAGAGATTAGACTTAAAAGGCGAGTCATGAGTAAAAAAGAGAGAATAGAGCAAGGCAAATAACAAATCAAGAACACAATACATACATAAAATGTTCCAAGAGCTGACTTTCGAAGCTTCAAAAAGTTTGATAAGTCGTCATTTTGAACTCCCTGTTGTACTTCTTGGATTTGAAGGCCTTGAATCTGGATTTTGTGTCGCTTTAAGACTATATAAATCCTCCAGTAGACAATTACCACCAGAATGAGGCAAACAGTTATGTTCACGAACCATATGACATGTAAGATGATAAACAATGGATCCCAAAAGACACCAGAAGAAATAATTGCGCTTAAAAGCCATATTAATATCACTGCTGCAATTGCGCGCTTGTGAGTCACACGTTCTTGATATCTGAGATGAAGATGAACAGCTAGGAGCCTGTCCACACTTATGGTTACAACATTGAAAAGCGAGGACATACAAAAGAAAGTGATAACGGCAGACAATCCCTTGAAAGAAATGCAGTCGATACGTTTTTGTTTTAACCGGCTGACAAAAATAGAAATGTTGAGCGGTTGGACCAACAAACCAACGCCAACATCGGAGGCAGCCAGGCTCAGTAATAATGTTCTCAAAGGTTTTGGCAACAATGCGGTTTTCCTTACCGCATGGATGGTTACGATATTCAAAATGATGGTTGTATAACACAGAAAGCCGTTGAAGACACTATTAGCGACAAGTGCCGGACGAAAAACTTCAACACTCGCAGAGGTTCCAGAGAAAAACTCGTTGAGAAGGTCGCAATCGTTTTCCGCCATGAGAACTGAGCGTTAATACTACTGTGGCTCTGATATTTTCCGATTCTAAATCGGAAAACTTTAAGTCATATGTATCTGTCAATCTGAAAATTTTTAGATATTTCAACCGAAAGAAATACAGATAAGACATTTTACCAAAGAATAACTCTGCATCATGCGCTTAAACGAAAAGAATATAGGACGTTTGGCTATTGTTTATGTTGACGGCCGTTGTAAATTAAAAATGAGGGCTGGTATTTTTATAACATTAATACATGTAAATTAGAAGTGAAAATGCGATATTGTGTTTGCATATTTAGCCTGTTAGAGTCAGAAAGTAAAGAAAGAACAGAAAAACAGCGAATCGGCAAATGACAGGACTATAAATTTATTTCGTCCAGAAGTGAAAAGAAGTCTGCAAATGAACGGTGTCAGGGATTGTAATACATGTAGTTTCGGTTTACATCGTAAAGGGATTGGTCAAGAGTTTCGCTTCATCTGTCAGCTAATCGGAAGAATTAAAGCTAGTCGCCGTTTTACTAATAACTAAACAAAATGGTTTTCCTAAATTTTTCTCTTTAAGTTAGCTGCTGGTTGAATTTTGTCCACTATCGCAAATAGAGAGTGTTGAATTCAGGTTGTATTGAAAAAGTAGAAGCCTAAAAATTGTGTGGATAAGTCAGAATACTCCATCTTAATCTTGTGCCATTATACTTGACGAAGACTGTTGTTATGAGGTGCTGTTTGTTATGCAACCATACATACATGTGTGCAATCATATGAATGCAAATGGTACTGTTTGCAATGCGGTAAGAGGGGATTTCTACTTTTACGCCCATGGATAAGACCCATTCAGATGAAGGGTGCTGAGCCTTTTTTAAAATACCTTGGTGTGGATGACAATCTAGTGTTTGACCATTTACATGAAAGCTAAAACGTAGTACTTTATTGAAGTACAGTTTATTATGCTGTACAAGGTGGTTTCTTTAAGTTAGCTGCTGGTTGAATTTTGTCCACTATCGCAAATAGAGAGTGTTGAATTCAGGTTGTATTGAAAAAGTAGAAGCCTAAAAATTGTGTGGATAAGTCAGAATACTCCATCTTAATCTTGTGCCATTATACTTGACGAAGACTGTTGTTATGAGGTGCTGTTTGTTATGCAACCATACATACATGTGTGCAACCATATGAATGCAAATGGTACTGTTTGCAACGCGGTAAGAGGGGATTTCTACTTTTACGCCCATGGATAAGACCCATTCAGACCTCATTTTTAATTTACAACGGCCGTCAACATAAACAATGTGCTGAGCCTTTTTTAAAATACCTTGGTGTGGATGACAATCTAGTGTTTGACCATTTACATGAAAGCTAAAACGTAGTACTTTATTGAAGTACAGTTTATTATGCTGTACAAGGTGGTTCTGGCCTGGATAACATCTTATATTATGAGTAATCTAAAAGCTTTTTACTTACTTCCATGTTTACTGTTTATCAAGAACCACTAATTAATTCTAACTTTAAAGTCTATGGATGAGACACAGCGTTTGACTATTCAAATGAAGGAAGCAGCGAAGTTTTTTCATTTGTTTCAGTTCATTATATTATTCAAGGTGGTTTTGACCACAAACCGTTGAGTTTAGCGGGCCGTACAGTGATATACAGCCCGCTTAATTGACTAATTATAGCCCACGTACGAACCGCGAGATATAATAATGTTAGTTATTTAGTGCGAGGCATAACGGTTTAGCTCTTATGTTTGTGGACGAAACAGTTACGCGTTCCATTTTTTGTAAGAAATACCTTATAAATGCACTCAAAATTGTTTCACGAATTTATGCAAAAAAAAAATTGGACTCATTTCTGCCTTTCATCCTCTTTTTCTTTCAGGTAGGACTGAGCTCTCATCTTCATTTCCACAAACTTTAAGGAGAGGTTATGTTTAAATCGAACCCAGCCAATACCACTGTAAGCTTTTGTGTTTCCCATGAACTGCCCGTTCAAATTTGAGTTGTGGCAATCGTTAAACCACCATCCCCCAGTCAGGTCATTTGAGCAGCTTCCCGTCTTCCACATGTCGTTATCCCTGTCTCTGGTGCTGAACATCATGTTGTTATGGTAACTCAAGGAATCCCCGGATGTACCATTGTAACCAATGACGGTGATCTTGTAGTTGTTCTTTTCGTTGTTTACCTTGAACACGTCGTAATGAGCGAAAACTTTTTTTCCACTCCAATCCTCCAGCTCGATTCGCAGCGACATCTCATTTGCTGCGGTGATCCGATGAATTTTGTCATTTCCTAGCCAGAAATTCTTCCCAAGGTCTCCGAAACCCGTTCTATAGTCGTTCCATGTACGGTGGAAGCTGACAGATGCATCCTGTCGCCTTTGGAACACAATCCATCCTCCACTGTCCGTCTCTAGGTCGCAATACACCTCAAACTCTGTTTTTCTGTCAGGGTTGATTGTATAAACACCACTAGTGCTGTAGCCAGCATAAAGGATATCATCACATCCTCTCGCTACACAAAAGAAGAATTTAATTATGTGCTTAGTGCTGAGAGGGAGGGCCAAACGAAAATATTTAGCTCGAGGTCACAACGAACGGAGTGAGCGCAGAAAGGTCAGTACATCATGACCATCAGGCAAGTGGGCGAATTTGTTATTTTTGATAAGGGAACGAATTCTTCTTGATGGGGGCGAACTGGAAGGCGAAGAACATGCAATGGAGCGACACCTCTGTGAACCACACCGTCCACTAAATGGTACGGAGTTATCGTGACATAACGACGACGCACTTACGAGCGAGGTCTGTTAATTGCAGAAAGAGTTAAGGTCTTCCACTTTGAAGGAGTTCAATTTCATTGTCATCGCTATGCTTGAGTAGCAAACTTTCCGACTTTTTCTCGGGGGGAGGGGGCGCAGGGGCATTGTTTCACTCAGCCTTTTTTGCATCTCTTTGTTTACACTTCCAAAGTCTCCAAGTTATAAAAGGTGGCAACAAAGAAAATACATAGGAGACCACTTACTTTGTGGAGGCTGAACACACAGCTTCTGACAAGAATCCGAACAGCATTTCATTTCACCAAAACAATCTGAATCCAAACTACACTCGTCATCAGTCTCATTTCCGCAATCTTCGACCGGGATAGGAATGGGGCAAATACCTTCCTTCAAACCCTCTAAAAATAAATAAGTAGTTTTTAAAGGGTTTCCTTAAACTAAGCCAAAAATTATAAACTGTGTTGATAAGTAAATTGACCACCGCCAAGAGTTTAATAACTGACGTTTCGAGCGTTAGCCTTTCTTCAGAGCGATTCATGTGCTACGAGGAGGTTGTTGCTCGTTATTAAAAAAGGCTCAAGATATACGTGCACAGTACCATTAAGATAATGTTGAAAATACTGCCAATTGCTCAGACAAAACAAATTATATCATGGAAAAGTGATCGAAAGGAATCAAACGAATTCGGCTAATGGACAACAGATGGTGTTGCAATAAACGTATGGCGCTAAGTCATTTAAGAAATCCTAAAAATTATTTTTAGTCCCTATTACTAAAATTCAGATGAGAATTGCTTGTTGTTGCTATAAGAGTGGATATGGAATTGCTTATGAGGTACATCTTTGAGCAAATGTCACTTGACATGAAAGTAATCTGGGTTAACAAATAGATGCCCTGTTACCGTACATGCGTCCGGTCGGTGATATATTAGAGATGACGTCATGATCTATGTAACGTCATGTGATCTATCACAGCAACATGGAATCTATTTGTGTTATTTGATAAAAAAAAGGAAAAAGTTGTTCATGGTGACGTCATCTTTGTGTCCGTCCTCTAGTAAATTATAAGTAAGAATCATGATGCGTGACGAATTCAGCTTGCTACATAAACAAAAGTAGAGAAACTAGATTTATTTAGATGAGACAAACAGCTCTCAAAATAAAACATAAGGTAACCTCCCATATAATTTAGGAATTCCAATTGAAATTAAACGTCCCACTTACTCTGCATGACAGCGAGATTCACTTCAGCGTTAATTTTCATGGCTCCTCCCAAGCTGGTCGCAGTACAGATATACTTCCCAGCATCGATTGGTGCCAGCTGAATGATTGTCAAGGTTCCATCCTCACCGACAGTGGCCCTCCGATCAGGAAGGTCAGCGTACTCGCGGCTCCATGTGACTGACAAAGTTTGGTCTCCCTCTGCCTTGCAGTTAATTGTCAGTACATCGCCTGTGTTGCCTACGAGTTCCGTTGGAGGTTTTACAGTGAATCTAGGGAGTGTCAACACCATCAGTTGTATCATCACTCGGGCGCTGCCGATAGCATTCGCAGCTTCGCACGTGTACATTCCGGAATCATCCGCTGTGGTGTTAACGATGGTTAGATTTCCATCCATTGATTGAATGCGTCTTTCTGGAAGACTTTGGAAGAGTCGAGACCACGTGATGATCGGTGACGGAAAGCCGGTCGCAATGCACATCGGAAGTGTGACGTCACTTCCGTCAATGACGTAAACTGAGCCCTGAGTTAACGGTTTAATTTGAGGTGTTCCTATTTAAATATTAAAGAAACTCGATCATCGTCACTGAATTGGCTCGATATTTTGTCTTACTAGTGTAAAATTGTTATGATGAAAAACACCTGTCAGACTTTAAAGTCATATTGTATATCTTTAAAATCACTCTTAAATTGAGAAACGAAAAATAGCTCGCCACGCAGTTCCTTAGCTAAGTATTCGTTGCGTTGGACATAACATCCGCGTGAGCACCACTGTAACTCCTCACTAATATTTGATTGATACCTTACCTCGGACAACAAGTTTCGTGAAGGCCTCGGCTCGTTTCACATTTGTCCTCGCAACACATTCGTAATCACCGCTGTCGTTGTATTGAACATTCGTGATGGTTAACCCGCCATCTTGCAGCACGTGGTATTTGGTATCACCTTTGAGTACTTCTCCCTCTTTCCGCCATGTAACAGTAGGCGTCGGGTCACCTATGATCGAAGAGACATATATAGTTTGTATATTATTATTTGTGAGTTTTTGGCTGAAACCTCACGGTTAGAAGAAAGCTGAAGAGCATGAGTTGCTGAGTACTAAACATTTTTTGCATTCGATTTCAGGCTGATTAAGAAATAAGCTTTCCGGCACTCGATACACGATTATATGATATCGGTACTCTTATACAGTGTTACGGTATTTAACCGACGGAAAGAACACTACACTCACACAAACTCAACTATTTTATTAAACAAATGAATAAAGGGGGTAAGTTTCTAAAGAAACTGTGGTGCTGCGTCGATGGAAGAGTATAAAAGGTAAGTCAATGTTAACAGCTAAGTTGAAAACGTTAGCCCTTCGCAATCGCTCCGACGAAGGGCTAGCGCTAGAAACGTCAGCCTTTAAAGTCTTTTACATTCGCAACTCAGTTGTTAGCACTAAATTACCTTCTTTATTAAACAACTCGTAATATTCTTACTAAGGAGCGACTCCTAAAGGCAGTGCAGTAGTTATCCTTAATAAACTTACCTAAGCCCAATATATTCTATATCTTAGCTCACCGCTGACATAATCTCACATTAGTATCCATGATCCTTTAAATGAACAATCTTCCACAGTAGCTCTCTTTGTCGGTATAGCTTTCCAAACAGTCGGTCACGCTCGATGACAACAATTACTTATTACTTCTACCAGGGACCGCGCAGAGGGAGGGGCTGGGGGTGGGGGGCTTTAGCCCTCCCCCCCTTTTTTTGCATAAATAAAAATAAGTTAAACAAAAAATAATCTAACAAATATAACGGAGCCAAAAATAGCCCCTTCACTCCAAAACTTGCTGCGCGGTCCCTGACTACTCATACGCGTATGAGTCCTTATGTGCATTTACAAAGTATCTTGGAACACAACACTACGACACGACTATTTTAGTGGCCTTACATCATAACTACTTGACCCAATAGAATGCTCTAGAAAGTCCCAAGGTATGCATGTCAGCACCACTCAACGTTCACCTATCAGAGTTCACTACCCTATCACGTCTTATCATATCAAATGCAACCTCTTGAAAACAAGAGTAAACAACATACCAGAAGCAGCACAATGAAACCTCGCAGTCTGATTTTCATTCACCGTCAAAATCGAAGGAGACACGAGCACCTGTAGCGACCCTTCCTTGTTATCAAGCACCGTCGACTCTCCGGGTACTCCCGGATATCCTTGGGCTCCTCTCTCTCCTTTCTGCCCCTTAGCCCCAGGGGGACCTAACCCTCCGATGTCTCCCGTATCGCCTTTTTCTCCTTTGGACCCAGGATCTCCGGGGGGACCACGAAGGCAAATCTGAAACATTGATGACAACAGCTGTCAGTGTCTGGGATCAGTTTAATGATATGTAAGATAGGGAGAAAGAATAACTTGTGAAGAGGAGAAATAACATCCAATTCAGGAGGATTAGAGAGAAGATCAGGGTGGATAACTTTTTTTTTTTTACGATTATTGAATGAATTTCAGCCAATGGATTGTCACCCCGAATGCGCATCGAAAATCTTTCAAAGTTGAAAATTATATGAAAATAAAAGCCAATTAGAACACTATTATCAACGACTGTACCGTTCAAAACAAGAGGGCAGGCACGCAAAGTCACTTGGGTAAAAATCAGCGTATGATGGTACTGGTCTTACAAAAAATTAAATATTTTATTCCTCGCCCCTCGAAATAAACCTTTCTGCAGGGTTTTCACGAATGCAACAGAATACGAGACATGGGACTTCAAACAATTTGATCATCACAGAGATAACTGCTGATCTCTTTTGGGAACGTTTTGGGTACGATAGCCTCGAGACAGCTCAGGTCTCTCTTGGGAACTACGTTGTGATTGATAGAGAAAGCAAGAGGCCTACTTTTGGTCAGCGGTGCGATTAGAGCTCACCCACAACTCTATGCACTAATAAATGACGTATACATGCCGGAAATCCACCTCCCTATCGGCAATCTATGATATTCTAAATGATACTCTGTTAGTTCTTACCGAACCAAGAGGTGATGTGCAAACACGATTACTCTCTTTTCTTATCTTCTCAAAATAACTTTTGATCTCGTTTCTTATTTTCAACAGGTCGTTGCTTTGGTCGTTACTGATGTTCGTTGCAAGTCCAGCGGCCGCGCGGCGGGTTCTCGTGTTGGCCTCACTGGAATAAATATCCAACTTTCCTTGAAGAAGAAGCATGCAAAACGTAAGTTTACAACGAAGGCCGTAAAAAACTGAAAGGGGCCAGCTGCGCATAAAAATGAGTTAAATTTCTTACCAAAGGGAGCGGTCATTATTTACCGTCTTGGGAGGGGGGAGAAGGGGTCGCGTTTTGTGTGACGATAAATTTTACCTGATCTCCCCATGAGGCTCTGTGATATTCTTTTGATCTCCTCCCCACCCCACCCCCCTCATCAGCAGTTAATTGGCAGGCAATTTTCTATATAGTCTCGTTTAATGCTATGTTGGCGACAACTGACTCCTCCTCAGTACCCTCTGAAAGTCGTCTGATCCCCAAAAATCCTCCAACCCAACCCCTTCCCCCCCCACCCAAGGTTATAATTAATGACAGGTTTTAATTCATACGGAATTCGCGCGTGGTCCTCGACTCAAAAAAATAGGTTCTCGAAACGTAAGAGAAAACTTCCTGCATTCTTAAACACCGCAGAATTCGCTGCCGTAGTGAAATTAAAAACTGTTCTTCGCATTTAGGCTCACTCGAATATCTATGTACGAATCACTACTGAGTAGTGCCCTTCTATATTACCCGAAAAATTAGAGATTTGAAAAAAATATTGTGATTCTTTCTCGTTTAAGTTCTGTCGCTTGAACAGAAATTGCTAAAATTTCGAAATATAAGAGGCATGCAAAACATAAGGTTACAAATTAACGCTAAAATTAGTGTTCACCACAATCTCCTTTAAGCTCGCACCGCAAAAATTTGTTTCCGCAAAATTTGTAAGCGAGACGGTACGACTATATTAATAAAATGCTAACTACAAACTGATCGCAGCCACAGGTTGCACACTAAGGAGTCCATATCTAGTGACGCTGTTTCTCTTTTACCGGAAAAAAAATAATAAAAAAAGAAAGCCAGCAATTTAGCACCCACGGGTAACAGACAATGCTTAAGAAGGCGAAAAATATTTTCCCTCGCTAACAACTTTTTAAGCCCAATTTTTGATCAGAGTTTTCTTCGTTATTTTTTAAAAATTTTTTTTTGTCATTTGTGGTAGAAAAGGCTCCCTTGCTACCATCCTCTTCTTAGTGAGTTCAACTATTTTCATCATTTTGTCGTGATCGCTACATTCCTTTCAGTAAGTGTTCCAACATGGCGAACCCTAACCGCAGCCTCTCCTCCCTAAGACATCCATAGACTACATGAAGCAATCTTTCTCGGGGTAGGGTGAGGAAATATCAGGCTTAATACGCACGTTAGAAAAGACAAGGAATTCTAAAAGCACTTCATAATTAAATCAAGTTGATTTAAATCTAGTATTCGATCAGAATAAATCTATCTAACCTTCGACGTTTGCTGTACTTTTACGCGACGCATCTTGTCTTCTTTCACGACAGAGAAGCTCCATTGTGCCCATTCGTGCTTCCTGTTCTTGCAATTTTACTTCGATTCTTAAAAATCCGGCAAAAAGTAGCGACAGAGTCAAGACCGAAATCACCAAACTGACAAAATGTAGCGAGTTGCAAAGACCTAAATTGGGCTTAGAGAGCACCATAGCGCAAAGATCCGAAGTTAGCGATCGAAATCGAGATAAAAACAAATGCTCTTTGTCTGTGGGAAATGTTTCGGCGAAGCTCGTGACAGACAAGTGACCAATAACTCGCACGCGCTCCGGTCACGATATCTTCCGTATCACGCATTTTGTCACGCAACTGAAAGCTTTTTAGATGCATCGGCTTACCCCGAAAAAGTCTAAAGGGAGAGTTTTTATTTACTTGTATAATCAAAGTTTAGCTTATTCTAGGACTTCTAAGTTTCAGAGGATAAAGTTTGGAAAAAGTTAAAGGAAGCAGCTGGACGCTAGAATCTTAACCCCAGGGGATTTAAATTTCAAACGATGAAATGTCGTGCCGAGTTGGGTTTCTGATATGAAGTGTGCTAGTTCAGACATTGCAACGATTTGGTAAAATTTAAAAAAAAACCGACGGCGAAGAGAATCTGCACGCTTTGGTTATTTGTTGTTGTTGTTGTAGTTGTCACTGCTGTCCTGTTCAGACTTCTCGAAGATTACTTGACCGTTCTTACATGAGAGTGACCTTAACCCCTTCCCCACCTGGGTGCATGGTTTAATGGAGCCCGAAATCTTTACCCCTTCTTCCGCCTAGCAGTCGACCTCTCTATTTTAAATTGAGCTATGAAGCTCTTTTTCTAAAGTTGAATCCGTATCAAAAATATCTTATTTCTTCAAGCACGTAAATGAATTTAATTTCAGATTCCAAACGGGGAGAATTCTTTTAAGTTATTACTCCATTATGTTCTGTGATACGGAAGCACTTCAGTAGTTCTAGCAGCAGCTGCGTCATCGATGCTGAGGGCCTGAGCCCTAGTGGCTTGGCGCCTTGTACTATGACATGAGTGACAAGAATGGAGTTTGCGTGACAGTTACAAGTCACGACGGTGAAAGTAGAACACTGGTAGATGGATATAATGGGAGGGGTTCATACTCTCGCAGCAGTCACTACTAAGGAACAAGTCTGTCCCAGCTGGCCAGTCTGACTGAGGTCTCTTCTCATTGTGAACAATTAATTATATATGAGTGTTACCACTCTTTGCTTTTGGGATCAAACTATGAATGGTGGATGTCAAGTGATTCCAGTAGAATGCCCCTCCTGGCAGTCAAAAATGCGCATACTGAAAGACCAACTCGTGTGCTGATTCTTCACAGCCTGAAATTGTGACAAGAAGCGATGATCCATGGCGCGAAAAAGCGGTCTTCTCACTGAAAAGTAAAAGCTACCTGTTAAGGAATTAAGGCCAGGAGATACTGGAATAACCCACGTTTTCAACGAGAAGGGCTATTATACTCTAGGAAAACTGAAATGTTAAGGACTAGTTAATAATTGAAAAAGTTTCAATTTGATACCTGTCGGTATTGCGACATAAACCGTCGGAAGAGAAAGCATCTTTAATTACAGTGGCGATTCAACTCATCTAAAGAATAAGCAAATCAATGTGTACCTCTGGACTGGTGATCACGATCTTAGTTTGCCCCAAAATAAAACATTTTAATAGATGCGAAGATCCGCAGTGAAGACTGGTTACTTGTTTAAGATAGGAGCCCTAACCAAACCCTTGCAGACTTACCAGGGAAAAATCGTTTCACAATATTGGTGTCACAAAATTTCATCGATACTATATGCCTCAAATGAAATGTTATGGCCTCATTGTCACATCTTTGATGAATTTATTTATTTTTTTACAATTATCAGTTTCATCTGTAGTGTGATGACTGTTAAGAGTATTTCTTAATTTATTTTTCTGAAACATGTGAATTGAACTGGTAATGCCAATCTATGTGGAAAAATTATTTATTTGAGCCTTAACACGTAAACATTGCGATTGACTATCACTTAATTTTTGATGACAATATTACGGCTGAATCAAAAATTAGTCATTAAAAGATAGAAAACTATTGCCACCTTCAGAAGTTGGTGATTGTTCAACAAATTCTCCTTGTCAGTGCAAAAGGAAACGTATTGTGAACAGTATGAAGTATATGCGTAATAATGTTAGGGTGTAAAGGTTGAATGTTACTGAAATTTTTCTCATAATTAGTTCGTTGATAATCTGCATATTAATTGTATATTTTATAGAGCCAAATTTCTTTCACGGGGGGAGCGTAAAATGAAAAGCACATTGTGCAGGTTTATCGCCAGTATCTGTTGTTGACAATTAACTTAGTGTAGAGTAAGTCTGTCTTGGTATAGTATTTACAAAAAACTCAGGCTTTCTCAAGTACCTATCTAATCTACATGACTCAAATACAGCATCTCACTCAAAATTACCTCGACAGATACCAAACATATAATAAACATAAACACCTGTTTAGTAAACATAAACACCTGTAAACATAAACACCTGTTTTGATTCTACTTTCTAAAACTCACCCGACATTTACACTCCTCTAAAATACAACTTATGAAATAGGGAGTAATTAACTAACAAAGGAATTTCCTTTCTAATTAACAAATAGCTTCCCATGTTGCAGTGTGCCCGTTCAGGATTAGATCACAGAGTCGTCACAGAAGTGGTAAGACTAAACAGTGGCACTGATGTTCATAACGCGTTTTGAAGTCTTCTTTGGTCTTTTACTGTAAAGACCCACAGTTACATGGGGTCTATTTGTTTTGTATGATAAAAAAGCAAAATGTTGTTGATGGTGACGTCACCCATGCTTCTGTCCGCCAACAGATCGTAAGAAACAATCAAAATGCTTGCTTCTTTCAGCTCATCATCATATAAACCTTTACATACATATATCTATTCAGTATCCTCCCTATTCCCAAAGCGATGCTTTCAATTACTGATGTTATTTAAAATTAATCACCATCATCGTTAAAATTTATTTTCTGATATGATTGACTATGATCACTTGTTATCAATTTCTCATAGTTTATCATAGGTGGATAAAAACCTTGAGGCAGGAGGGGGGTGGGAAACCGCACCCATGACAGATCAGGGTCCTCTCAAACCTAAGTGTAATAATCGTAATATCGTTCTGTAATCATTTTCATTATAGTACTGATAACTATCTTCAGAGTCACTGTAACCACCATCATCGTTATCATCATAGCCTGTATAGTACGCGCTCCCGCACAAACGAAGATATTTCTCGCATTATGGCCGTACAATATTTGACGCGAGAGCAAAAAGTTCGAAGGGGGGGTGGGGAACAGGGAAGAGTTCCTTCGTTGCCCTGCCCTAACCACTCTATCGTCTAGGTCGCTATCGTCGTTACTATCATTTTCGTCATCACACTCATCAGCATCATTATTATTGCAGTTTCCATCATCACCAGAGTCGATGAAATAATTATCGCCTTTATCAACATCATCAGTATCTTTGACATCACCATCACCACGTGAACTGTCGTCGTGTCGCCGTTGTAATGACCACCAGCATTATCATCAATTTTACTCACGCAATTAACATCTCGACTCTCGGCGAGGTCAACATTATCATCGGGTTTATGACCATCAATCAAATTTTCATCATCATCATCATTATCATAGTCGTGACTACCATTACCAAATCAACCCAAGTACTATCACCATTGTTATCATGAACATCATCCAGCTTCCATAACTTCAAATTGAAGATGTTTGTCCTTGCTCGTATCTGAACACCACGCTGTACATATCTCCTCCAAGTCTTTGAGCGAGCCAGCGATTCTTTATTACAGCAAGCTTAATAGAATCACACGTGAATTTTGCGTCGTAATTTGTATGGATGGCTCTAAAAGGGAGATTAAAAACAACAAAAAAAGTTTTTATAATGCTACGGATACTTTTAAGGGTCCTGAGTTGTCCGCTTTGAAGAGCTACCACTGTTTTGTATTTTTGATATAATCGCTCTCCAAAACAAAGATTAAAGGAACATCTATTAAAGAGAATGAGAGAAACAACTTGTTTTCTACGGTCTCTTTCAAATGTTTGAGGCGAGAGAAACAGAGAGAGGCAGAGTAAGAAAGCGAGAGAAAAGCAAAAAAACTGTAACAATCGGACTTCTCACTGCCGCCTTTTATTGCTCTGGACACGTGACCATAACCGCTCTTGAGGCGTGAAAAAGAAAAAACCTGGTAACAACGTTCAAGTAAAGACCAAAATGACTTACCTTCCCATTCCTTCTAAAATTAAGAGATCCGCATCTCTACACTTCAGTGCAAGCTCTGTGTTCACTCTCCTGAAAAGAAGATAAAGTCGGTAGTTCACTTCTAACGTTTTCGGGCTCATCACAGTACATTCAAGGTAAATCTTTGTTGTAGAACTATTTCACGTCTTTCTTCTTGGAGTTAAACAGAAACCATACCTACAGTCCAAACACGGAGATCCAATTCCTGACTCCATAAGAACTAACCGTTCTTCTCGATGCGCAGTCCTGAGTACCCATAAAAAAACAAAAGCGAGACGAAAGATTATGTTTCACCTCAACCTCCTACATAAGCGACGAGTGAAAAATATATATTGCAGAGAAAGAAGGGACGGGACATGAACCGAGAAACCAGAACAAAAAACAAACAATCTCTCTCCATCTTCTCCAATGCACATAGTTGCAGAATTATTAAATTATCTCTCCTTTTCGCCAGAGGAAAAATGATGTTTCATTACCTTATTTCTGGACATAAATCTGCTATTTTTTCTGTCAAGATCACAAGTTCACTGTGCATGACGTCATTCAAGGCTGGATAAGAGTTAGCAGCCATGACAACCTACAAAAAGGTCACGCAAAACTTAATCGAAAAAGTCGATAATATGTCACGCGTCATGTAATAAGAAATACGAATCACTAATGGACAGAAAAGCAAGTTAACGACGATACGAAGAGAAAGTTCTCCGAAATTATATGAGAGTACACAAGCAGAAAAGAAAAGATAGTTATTATCTGAAGACTGGAAATTGAAAGGAAAGTTAATATTCCGCCCTTGTCTGCTCAGCTTGCCAACACTTTCAACATTTGAACGCAAGGTAAGCGTAGGACGTCTAAAAGTTATTGCGCGTTTGTTACGCATTCGGGAAGTTTTGTTCAGATTATTCTGACGCTCCCGCTTA